TTTACAATAATGATCTGTATGTCTTTATGAGAAGTTGGATGAATTTTTAAAAATCAGATGAGTTATTGAAAATTATACGGTTCTTTACACAACTAGACAAGTTTGTGTTGCGAGTAACTTAATTCTCTTAATACTCAATTGCATGAGACTGATGGGCGAAGCACGCAATATGATGCAGAACCTAAATGAGGTTGATAACGAAAGCAAGCAACGTGGCTCATCATTCGAGTGAGGCTGAAGATGCAAAAATCCATCTTCAAGAACCACGTGACAAGGGGAGAAAGTATATCTCTATACTTGTGTTAGATGGCGTCAGCTCTCAGATGTTATCTTTCTCTTAGGATCACTCATTATGACATGCTGTTGTATGGAAGGTTTTAAATCACGAAGTAGAGTTAATATTTTTTCGTCTTCCATCATGTCCGGATTAAAACGAGCACATAATGCTAGAACATCGTAGTAATACGATTGAACTGACTCGTCGTTACCTTGGTGTCGATTCATCAAATTTAGTCGAAATCTTCAATTTATGTACAGATGATGTGAGTACGTTGATGAATTGTTTCTTGAATTCGTCATAATTACTGCTAAGTTTTTCGCTACGATACCACTTCTTGACATCATCGCCAAAATACATTGGGATGAAACGTCGTCGATCATTATTATCAACTTTTGTAGCATCAAATAGTTCTTCGACGCTTTGAATCCATGTCATCAGATCTTGTTCGTCTGCACTTGTAAATAATTCAATTGGCTGAATACCTTTAAGTAGTATTTGCATTGGCAAGTTGGATGCCATATTATCTTGCTATTGTTTCTATTGACGTTCCAGTCGTTTGGCTTCTAGTTTCTCTTCGTACAGTCGATGATTTGCTTGAGCTTGTTCTTCGGAGGTGTTACGCGTAGTAACTAGTTTGACAGTTTAGCTGCTTATCAATATCTGACGTTGTTTGTGATGTTGAATCGATGAACAGCTGGCCAGTGCACCAATGTTAAAGATAGTCAACCACTAACCAGTTGTAAGTCAGAGAAAGTTTATCTTAATGTGTACGTACAATCAACTTTATTGTTGCGAGCGGAGGGTATATATACACGGGTTCGGAGTAAAAGGGTGTGGATGTGGGTGTTGATCTTCTCTTAACTGACTCACACCCACCAAAATCTTGCTTACAAGATGTTCGACTAGGGGTGTGTATTTATATAAAAGATATTCTTTTCAAGAAATGAAAATCTATTGTCATCAAGTAGAAGGTTATTTCTAATAAAGTTTTTCTTGATATGTTTATATTAAATAGATATAAAGTAAAACAAATTGATTTAAATTAAAAAAGAAAAATCTCAATAAATTTTGCTATTCTTCCTGATGTTGAACCAGATGAAAATGCAATAAAAATAAAAGATGTTCGATCTTATGTTATTAAATCAGAAGAAAATGAAAAATTGCAAGGTAGTAGTGCTTATTATCATAAACAAGTTGAAGGTCATTGGATAGATGGTACTGATCAATGGCCAATAGCTAATCCAATGTCATTATATCAAAAATATAAATCTCGTCGTAACAGTTGGGGTATTGGTGCTCTTGGCTCAGTTATTGTTGAAATTGAATTAACTAATGGAATAAATGGTGTTGGAATCTCAATTGGTGGTCAACCAGCTTGTTATTTAATTGAATATCATTTTCGTCGTTTTCTTATTGGAGAAGATCCACTTAATATTGAATATATATGGGATATGATGTGGCGTTCATCAATAAATTATGGTCGAAAAGGTTTAACTATTCAAGCGATATCAGCTATTGATTTAGCACTTTGGGATTGTGCGGGAAAATTAAGAAATGAACCTGTTTATAAATTACTTGGTGGAAAAACTAAAAATAGTTTACCTTGTTATGCAACATGTTATAATCCATTAGCAGCTAAAAATTTAGGTTTTAAAGGTGCAAAATTTCCTTTACCATATGGACCTGCTGATGGTGATCATGGATTAATTAAAAATATTCAAAGAATTAAAGATATACGTTTTTCTGTTGGAAATGATTTTCCTTTAATGATTGTATTTATTTATTTCTATTTATCTTATTTTATTTATTTTTTATTTTTCATTTTTTATTTTAGGATTGTTATATGTCATTAACTGTTCCTTATACATTAAAATTACTTGAACTTATTCAACCATATAATATTAAATGGTATATATATATCGGCTTGGGCAAGTGTAACGTGATGACGTTTTGGTCACAGTGTTATTAACTTTTCTCAATAAATAGGTTATCGAGAAAGTTTGTTCTTTGTTTAGTAGATGTGTTTCTGCTTTCCCCAAAATCTATGAGAATATGAACTCGATTAAATGATCTGCTTGAAAATTACAGGAAAAAATATAGGAGGTAGCACGATGACGAAAAAGAGGCAAAAAGCTGAAAGTGATGTGTTTGTTCGTAAGTTTTTCTACGGATGTGTCTAATATTGAAAGAAACATTTTATAGCCATTTTCTAGCCGATAGTTTGGCCTATCCAATTGAGAAAAACGATGACGCTAACTTTGATGATCAATTTTTTCTTTTCATAAGTTTTCTTTTCCAAAATATAAAACTTCGAAGAGACAAGGTCATATTGTATTATTACGTGTTAAAGTAAATGATGTTTATTATCATACATTTCATCAGGTGTAATCAACCTTAATCATATGGTCCTGATAGATAAATTTCATCATCTATTAGTAAAATTTTTGTGAGCAAGTACTACATATGATCGGCAGCACTTATTAATAAAAAACAAAATTTTTTCATACATTATCGAGTAAACTCTGCGAAATGACAATAATAAGTTTGTAAAAATGATATCTCAAAACACTAATTTTTGAGGTCACCCGCTCAAGCCGATATATATTCTTTGTTTTGTTTTTTTCTTTTTAATATATAAATAAATATAGGTTAGAAGAAGCATTACCACCTGATCAATATAATGGTTATAGTCAAATAAAAAAAGAAAATCGTACAACATGTTTATTAACATGTGGTGAACATGAATATACACGATGGGGATTTAAATTATTATTAGATAATTATTGTGTTGATATTCTTCAACCAGATGTAACATGGGCTGGTGGATTAACAGAATGTCGTCGTATAGTAGCTCTTGCATCTGCATATGATATACCAATTGTTCCACATGGTTCATCAATTTATTCATATCATTTACAATATGCTTTTCCAAATTTACCAATGAGTGAATTTTTATTACTTTCACCTAATGGTGATTCAATATCACCTATATTTGGACAATTATTTCATGATGAACCATTACCAATTAATGGATGGATTACATTAGATACATATAAATCAGGATTTGGTGTTACACTTAATAAAACAAATCTTTTTCGTCCTTATTTTAATCAAAATCGAACTAAATAATAATAATAATAATATTATTATTATTATCGTTTAATTTATCTTCTACAATAAATAATTCTATTAAAATCTATTCAATTTATAATAAAACATTCGATTATCATAGATTATCTAAAATATTCATTTATTATTTTAATCTATTATTTACTAAATAAATAATAATTGATTTGTTCTCAATATTAACAAAAGTTTAAACTCTCATAGTTTGACATTACAAAAAAGATAGCATAAACAAAAAATTCTGTTTTTCTTTTTTTATTTCATTTTTTTAATCATCTCATATGTTTTTATAAATAAAAAGAAAATATGTGCAAATGATGCAGGGTGAAAAGCTCTACAACCTATGTAAATGATAAAAAGATCAAATAAAAAACAAAGAACAGAATTTTTTTCGTTCACACTATCTTCTTTAATAGTGACAAGATATTAAAGCTCAAATTTTTTTTGTTCATATTCGACAGTGAAATTTGCAACTATTAAAAATTAATCGATATTATAAAATTTGTAGAACTCTTCATCATGCATACATTCACATGCTGTCCTCCTTTTTTAATATGAAGGGATTGAAAACTCATATAAAATGTAATCACCTATTAGAAGAAATAAGCAAAAAAAAAAATTTAATAGGTGTGAGTGTGGCGGGTGTGTGAGTGTGGGTGAGGGTGTGGGTGTGGGTGTGGGTGTGAGGGTGTGGGTGTCTGGATGTCGGGGTCTACTATTCTTCCTTACCCACACCCACATCCACACCCCACCCACACATCCACACCCACACCCCACCCCACACCCACACCCACCCACTCACACCCTCTCCGACAGCAACACCCACACACACCTACACCCACGCACTCACATCCGCACCTATCCTCACTCACACCCACACCCAAATCCAAACCCACACCCACACTAAACCAATAAAACATTTTTCAATAACTTCGCAATTACCAAAGCGACATTTTCAGTCAAAATCTAAAGACAACATAAAAATTTGAAAACTATTTTTCGAATTCCTTCCTCTCTTTTGCCGGGCATCCCTTATGGGTATCCTCTGATACAAACAAAAAGCTCGTGTAAGTAGGACAAAAATTTAGAAAAAAATGCGGACACAAGAAACATACAGTCGTGATTATAATTATAGATAAATGGAAATCATGGAAAACATTAACACGTGTTTGAAATAAGGCTGTATTTGGCAATACCGTTGCTCATAGAAGTGCTGCTAAGATACAGATTTCCGTCGGTATCCAGTTGTATACGACCAATACCCCAATAAGCACCAGTCAGCAGTTGTGTGACAAAACCTGAGCTTGGAATAAACTTAGAAACACCACCGTAAGATGTAAAGTAGATATTTCCCACTTTGTCCATGATTAAATCAGACAGAGTATGATAAAATGCCAAAACTAACAAAACGATCCCTGTTGAGCTACCCGATGGAAACATAATGATTCGACTAAAACGAAATTAATTTCAGTTACTAACCTCTGTATTCTTCATCTGAATGAGAAAATAGAAATGCGAATTTTAAAATCCACCTAGTTATGTTCTTCGAAAAAAGGCAGCAGGAAAAGCAGTAATTTTTTGCTGCTTAAATGTGTCACTCTCACTCTCGAAAGCATTCAGTTCGATTGAGAAATATTTGAGAAAATTGAATATTATCAATCAGTTAACACTTACAAGTTGCCTCTATCTGCCACATACAGAGTACCGTTCGTATCCACATAAATACCGCCAGGATAATTAAGTTGGTTTGTCATTGATCCAGAACTTCCATTCATGCCTGCTACAATAGCTGCTGTCGATACAAACGGTGTAATTTTCAGAATACGATGATTTGATGAATCTGAGTAGTATATTCCGCCTTGACGGTCAATGAAAAGCCCGCCCGCAGCACAGATTTGGTCTGCTCCTTGGCCACATGTTGTTTCACCAAAAACAATGTTACCAGTTGTTCCATTGCCTTCACTGTACTTGGCTACTTGAGAATAATAACTTGTCGTGGGGTTGTAGCAATACTTGTGATAAAATGAAATTTTATGTTTTCTTGTGTGAGTAACTTTTATTTGAATCATTATCATTGATTTAATGGTTTTAAATTGACTACTTTTCTATTTAGTTAGCGCATTTTTATACACCCATCGTCAACAATATTAACAATCGACTCAAACCCAAAAGTCAAAATGTAAATACTAATGACATATTCGAATCATAAGAGGATGATAAAATACGAAAATAGTAAACAATGCTGTCTTCTATTTTAAAACACAAAAGCCTTGCATATAGAAAAAAGCGGCACACTCACAGTTGATCACTTCTATTGAAGTGTATCACCTGACACGTGAAATCTCTGCCTCCTGTTGTATATCGACATACTGAAGAAGTTTCTCGCAAAGATGATTGACGTAAAATGATTCGTATTCATATTTGTAGAAAATAAATGCGATTGCATCATGTTTCATATTTTGATTCCTCAGAGATTGAGCTAAAAGATTTTAGGCTTGATGCTATTGCATGTTTTGTTTTTTTGAAGACGTCTTTTAAGACCGAAAAATTGGAATAAGAATAACGAAGGATAACATTTCATACTTTGGAACATGTCTATTATGAAACTTTTCCAGACTCCAATAGGAAACCGTATGTCACAAAACGAAGTTTTTCTTATACAATAGCCTTCGAAAAGTTGAGAAAATTTTGAAAGGTATGACATTTGTATTAAGAAAGAGAATCTTGTACTAAATAAGCCCACTATTCGCAAAGAGATCTGTTTTTGAAAAAAAAAGAAGAACAACTTGTTATTCAATGAAAGAATCTTTAGCTCTGTCGATGATTCATATCAAACAAAATATCATTGTCATTGTCATTAATTTCAAGCAGTTCAATGACATTGTTCGTAGACTTTTTTGTTCACTTTACACTCTAGTAATATGTATTTGCTGTCTATCCGTTGTTTTTTATGTTTTTATATTGTACACATGAAAATACTTCTAACATATGACGCTGCAAAAATCATAACCGAGCATTTCATGACCTTGAAATAAACTTACTTGACTTTCTGCTGCATAGATAATGCCATTGCTGTCTAGAGCGATCATATATGGATTGTAGGAGTAGGTGTAACAGTTAGGTGCCAAATCTCTAGTTCCGATTACATTGAATGTTGATGTATTATTTGCCGGAAACTTGAGTATACGAGTACCATTACCATTACTAGAAGCACAGCTCACAATGTAATTGTTGTTCGTGTCCAGAGAAAAGCTACTCATATAACATTGATAAGTCTGAAACACCGAAGCTTGAATCGCTGGTGATCCATATTGGTTCCATGCTCCTTTTTGACAGGTATTACCTGAGAAAATGCATGAAAAAATATTGCCAGTTTTTAACAACAACATTGTATTTCATATATGAAGACTTCGTCTACACTAGATTGCTATGAGGAAAATTCTGCCACTTCTATCCTAGGTGGTGTTGTCAAGTTTTAGTACTTAAAAGTGTTATAGTTTTTTCGAAGCATATAGAAAATGTACGTCCCTCAATTTTTTCAAATTATGTATGACTGAATCTGTCCAAGTTGTTTCGCATTTGCGCAATTTGTCAAACTTTGAAGAAAGAACTATCTGTGTGACGGAATAAGAAACCACATGAGTAAACTAACAAAACAGTTTGTGAATGGCAATCATTCATAAACATCATAATAATTCAATTATTGTAATTTTCAACAGAATGAATGTTTTTTTTTTTTTTTTAATTATGCTGAATTTTATTCGTGACATCCATAATTTTTTTTGGGAGATTTTTTACAATTTTTTGCGGACGCTTACGAATGTATGCAACGGACAGGATAATGATAACACACAGAGAAAGAATACAAAGAAAATGAAAACGAACAGAATGAAACTCGAATTCGAGCCAATGATGACGATGTAGCGTGCATCGTTGCTTTTTCTTTTGTTTATTCTTCCGATACCATATATCTTGACACCGAATGCACGATGCCGGGGGAAGGGATCGAACCTTCTGATCTCTGACTATAATCAGATGCATAGAACCACTACGCCATCCCCGACTAATGAATGTTTTGACATTTACACCTCGTCTTAAAAGAAAGTGGGTAAGAACCTTGTGCAAAATCTTTTAGATGAAAGCATCCAAATCAAAGGTTTGGTTCAATGCAATCATGTTCGAGAAATCGTTAATGTACCTGTTGATGTTGGTGGTAAGTAATAAATTCTCTTAGAGTGTTACTGAAACATCACAACTCTTAAAAAAACATCGAGCGATGAAGTAGTCTATCGAAGAAACGAAAATTTCCGCGAAAAGGTAAAACGCGAAAAGCCTTCTCTTTATTTAAATTCTGCTTGTGTTAAAATAATATTACAAAAACTCGATAAACAAAATAACCATACTGCACAAGTGTATTTGCTAAGTGTCAAATTGTTTTCTTATGAAAACGAAAAATTATTCTATACAAAAGTATCGTTGATAATATGAACCAGTTCATTTAAGTCACATTAGACCTTGTTCAATGGCAATTCTCAGATTTTTCTCAGTGGAAAATATGCTAGAGAAATACCTACACTCACATATTTTGATCCTAAA